AAAGGGGTAAGGGCCTTGACAGCTGTAGAGTCACCCTCAAACTCTAACCTTCCACCCACCTCCTCCTCAGTTCTTTCCTAACCCCCTTTACCTGCTCCTCCTCCTATGCTGCCACATCCCCTCACTTCACTCTATCTTCTTGTTCAAGCCAGTGGATTGAACAAAAAAACCTGACAGATTGCTGTATCAACACAAGTGATGTTGGTGCGGCGATCTCAGCAGCTATGCTATTGTTTTCTGACACGGGGACTCTTCACAAGCCAGAACACACTGATCAGCGCTCACAGCCAATAGATGCAAGTGCTGATAAGATGTGGGTCGGATACTGGTTTTCCAGCTTGCCTATTCAACAGAAGCCAGTCTAGCTTCTGTAAAACAGACAGCTGTACACACAGGCCAACAGTTATCTGGTTCCTGCTGAAGTGGCCAGTTTCAGCTGATTTTACAGCAACAATAAAGGTCATGTGATTAGGCTTTCTTACTCCTGTAACAAAAGAAAAATGGGTAAGGGAACAGAATAGATCCAATGTTAAGGTGTACTTTTTGTAGCACTGCAGAGCTCACACAGCTCCAGTTTGGCCTAGCCTATATATATGCATTTAAAATCAGTTGATGTTTGTATTGTTACCTCACTAGAGTCACTTAAGAGAAACATTGGGTTTTTAATACTTGTATGTATAGAAATTGTACTATGTATAGTGTACCTTTACCCATCCTTGCCTTCCATATTAGTAAAGATTTTAAAAAATACTCATGCATAAACTTGTTAGTATGCGACATTCAGTATTTACTGTTATTATCATCTATTTAACCTTTTTTTCTGTGCTAATTTTAGTTTCCTAGCCTAACTTAACTCAGACCTCACTGACTGACTAAAAATATTTTTGTCATGCAAATATAGCAGGAAACTATGACATGTTGCATTTTCATATTTTGTATCCAGCCTTTTAGCTAGAAGGTGGCACTTAAGTCCCCTTTTAATGTTTTTTTTTCAGAAACTCTTTGTGAAGAGCCTGTTTACACAGCTCAGTAGCTCAAAAATTCAGTAAATCCAATATTAACTGTCCCATAGACATGCAAGTGTATTTATGTTTTAAAGAGAATCTAATCCATCTGAACAGTGCATTCTATTCTAGATAAAGCCACTCTCAAACCCCAGGTCACATGCTGATTCTAGATAAGTGAGTCTGTCTAAATGTTTATAGGAAACCCTGAGCACTATGGACCTCCTAAAAAACCTGTGCAGCTAGCATATAATGTGTTCCCACATGTACAACATAAATAAACTAGAAAAGCTACAATTTCTGGGGAAATTGTGTGTGAAGTGTTCTTGCCTCCACCAGTAGTCTACAACTGGAGTGGGCGGAGTAGTAGCTTTTGTCACTCTGCTGGCTGCTCACACACCTGGGTTCCTATGGCAACTCACTCTATAGCAAGGGCAGAGGAGCGGTTAAAAACAAACTGCTCCAACTTGCTCACTTCACTGGCGGTTGCCATCTTCAAATGGTTGTAGTTTTAAATAGGGGCTCATGGGGCCCCTGTGTCCTTGCCCAAACTCAAAAAAGCCTATGAAAAAGGTACCAGGGGCATCTCATGGGGCCCCCTACTGACCCCGGACCCTCGGGCAGTGCCCGGGTTTCCAAATGGTCAGTCCGCCCCTGATAGGTACTGTCCTATTCCCCAGTCTGCCCGCCTCCTCCTAGTTAAACTTACCAATTGATAGGGTGCTCAGTGTTCCGCCAAGAGCTTGCCCTGAGCGCAGTAGTATTATGCCTTCCAAATCAACCACCATCTATGGGTAGCTAAAGCAATTCTAAAGGATCATTTATTTTTTTAATTTATTTTTAAATAACAAACATGCCTATACTTACCTGCTGTGTGCAGTGGTTTTGCACAGAGCAGCCTAGATCCTTCTCTTCTCAGTTCCCCACGCAGGCTCTCCTGGTCCTTCTTCCTGTCGGGTGCCCCCACAGCAAGCAGCTTGCTATGATGGCACCCGCTGCTCCATGTATCCATTTACACATGGAGCCATGGCTTGGCCCCGCCACTTCTGTCTCTTTCATTGGCTGATTGGCTGTGATTGACATCAGCAGGAGCCAATGGCTCCTGCTTGCTGTTTCAGCCAATGAGGAGGTAGAGACCCGGGACAGCAGAGGCTGTTCACATTGCTGGATCGCGATGAGGCTCAGATAAATATTGAGGTGACTGGGGCACTGCTGCACACAGAAGGTTTTTTACCTACATGCATAGATTGGCATCTGCCCCAACCTATAATTGGCCTTCACAGCAAGGAGCACATGGAAGGATGACGTATGTCAAACAACAACAAAGGAAAATTCTCAGCTCAACTTACCAGCCAGCTCTCAAAAATTGGAATTGCCTATCAATTTATAGAGTTAAGACTGCAGATAATATTGGGGTGCCGAGAAGTGGCTGCTGCAGCTTATACCTGTATTTGCAAGTGTGTGCAATCTAAACCCCTGTTTTTAAAGCAAACTGCTAAACAGGAAAAAAATTCAGTTTGGCTGGCTGGGAAGTTGAGCTGGGAATATTTCTTTGTTGTTTGTTTGACTGACAGCATCAGGAGTCTATGGTTCCCGCTGCTTTGAGTGTTTCCTGTGAAAGAAAAAGAGAGGAGAGCAGTACTGTAGACAGGACTGCTCTGGAGCGGTGGGAGATGTTTGGAGACAGGGGTGTAGAATAAGTAGTCAGCTATTTTTACCTTAATGCAAACAGGAAGGCATTAAGGTAAAAAAACATTTTGAGTTTAGAACCGCTTTAAAGTAAAATAAATATAAAATAAATTCATACCCCACCTAATTTAAATATGGTTGAAACCTTTTTTACTAAAATGTTGTCTTCTTTATAAGAGATTAAAGGCATTTTTTAAAAAAATCTTTGATAAATACTTCAACCATCAATTCCATCTATACTAACCCAAGCACCAAAGAGCTTCACTAAAGTGTAAAGTGGTGTAGTGTATGACAAAGGTAACTAGGCTAGAGGGATCAGAATGCTTGCTTTTTACTCCAGGCAGGGAAGACCAACTTAAGTCCCTTTTATACAAACTGAGAAGAATATTGAAAAAATGATCAATTCTTATTGCCTACAATTTACCCAAGGCTAACCAAAAAAGTCTAAAAAAAGGCAAAGTGGCTTCACTTCACCAAATAAGACTCTAAGATGTGATGTAATTGTTAGCAAAATGTATGTACATATTCATCACTAAAATTAAAATTACCCGTGCTATGAGTATTCTTAAAATGTATTTTTAAAAATTGTGTTTCCCTTTTACAAAGATGCCTATACTTTTTTACAAATCTTGTAAATTGTGCTATCCACAAATGATCCATCACAAATTAATTAGTGCAAACAAATAAACAAATAAATAAAACATGGTACATCTCTGCATGCATATGATTGCTCAATGATATAAACATGCAAATGTCTCACAGTCTCTCCAAACATAAAGTGCTCCATAATTAAATATATATACCTTGTGCAAATCCACCTCTTCCCTTTTTCACCGTCCCCTCTCAGGTGTTCCCAGCTCACTGGATCCTCTGCTTTCTAGCTAGAGAAGTTATACACGCTTGCAGACAAATCAGATGGTTTCAAGAGATGATTCTCCTCTTAAGTTCTTCACTTCTCTCTGTCACCTTCTACCTCTTTGAACCAGCTTCAGTGACACTTTACCACTTTACATAGGGCTCAGCTCTCAAAACATTCATGGACAGAAGAATGAGAATCTTTCATAGTGCAGCACCAATTTATTTCATAGATTATATACATGGATATCACTCACATGTTAACTGTGCAGATACAAAACCAATATGTCCTGAGGACACCCATAGGAGGGGCAAAATGCATTGGACAGAGTTTCCAGTTCTGGTGACATCATATCCAGCCAGTGGACTGCACACTGCGGTGGCGCTTCTGAGTCTATATAGGTTTTGTACCAGTACAGTTATCAAGTCCCCAAATATTTCATAGAAGGGGGGAGGAGGAGGAGAAGCGGATCTTCCTCTTTTGGGCCAAGTTCTGCTCTAAATTCTTATGTCACCTGCATCTATAAGGTTCATGCTTAAAGAGTAACTCCACCTTTGATGAGGAAAAAAAAATTTCCCTCTCGGTGATCTATCACATTGCAGGGATTTTAACAAACTTTGTTACAGACTCCCAGTTTCTGTTATTCTAAAGAAGTAGCTGTTTATTTGTCTTTGCCCATGTACAAAATGAATGTGAATGGAAGTGATTTTAATTTTTATCAATCAGCTGCTGCACTTGCAGAGTTCTAAAGAGGGAAGTGGCAGGGTGTGCGTCCCTTTAGACATGATTTCCCTTTGAGTCTATCTGTTGCAGGTAATGACCAAAATCTGACTGGTATCTTAGTGCAGACCTCAGGGAAAACGAGTAAGCCAATCACACAAGCAGGATATTACATTTCTGCAGGGAGTTCTGTACACCTTTTGTGTACAGAAGTCTTCCATTTTGCCATATTGCTTTGAATTTTACAGAGAATTACAGTACTGCAGATTGAAAAGAAAAAGTATTTTTAAATAGCAATTCTATATGCTATATTGCTTTTTTATCTGTGTTTTTCCCAATAACATGGAGTTACCCTTTAAATGTAAACAGGTATTAAAAGTACCAGTACTAGAAGGATCTTCTGGCCTGTTCAGTGATGTTATGGGTCCTTTCTATTTTATACTAGCACCAGTGTGGGACACTCCTTACTCTTGCATTGAGTGGTGCATATATGTAATGATATGTGAACCGAATTTAGTGTAGTAGGCTGCGTGATGATGCCACTGCCTGATTTCAAAGGACGTAAGTAGCATTATTACTGTAACTAAAAATACTGAAGGCATCTAACAGCAGAAATGAATGTTTTTTTTGTTTGTTTGTTTTTTATTTTTTTATTTGCTACACTTTTCGTTCCTAAAACAATTCCACATTTTACTGCATGAAGACAAAAATCAAGTAAATAACGTCATTTGCAGAGGCGGACTGACCATTTGGAAACTCGGGCACTGCCCGAGGGCCCGGGGTCAGTAGGGGGCCCCATGAGATTCCCCTGGTACCTTTTTCATAGGCTTTTTTGAGTTTGGGCAAGGACACAGGGTCCCCATGATCCCCTATTGCCTGGGGGCCCCATGAGTTGTCAGTCCACCCCTGGTCATGTGTTATTAAACAAAGGACACTTATTTTTACCATTTGCCCTCCATAGGATTTACTCTTCTTCCTTCCTATCGCATTTTTGCGATACGGCGCTGCATTACGTTAACTAACAATTGAACGGTCATGCAACACTGCACCCAAATGAAATTGATGTTCTTTTTTCCCCCTCAAATGTAGCTTTTTTTTGAGGTCTTTAATCTTCACTGGGTTTTTTTTGTTTATTATATAAACAAAAAAAGACAGAACGTTTGTTATAAAACATATCCAATAAAAAATAAAGAAATAAAATTTCTTTATACATTTAGGCCAAAATGTATTTTTACATGTCTTTAGTAAAAAAGAAAAAATCCCAATAAGGGTATATTTGGTTTGTGTGAAAGGTATAGAGTCTACAAACTATGGTATATATATTTGAAAATTGATCGATCCTGTTATATTGATTTCTTGAGGCCTCAAAACGCCAGGACAGTACAAATACCCCCAAATGGCCCCTTTTTGGAACATAGACAGTCTCTGAGGTATTTAGAAGGAGGTATGGCAAGTTTTTTGAAGTTGTAATTATTTTGTCACAATTATTTGGAAAATTAAGAAATTAAATACTTTTTTTTACATATTGTCACCAGTGCAGTACATCATATGACTGGTGTGGCAGTGACCAGGCATAATGACTGGTGACAGTTTGTAAAATAAAAAAAAAAAAAATAATAATTTTTATTCAATTTTGGTTACTTTTTTTTCTCGTTTAACATTTCTTTCTTTTTTTACTGTTTTACAATATTTTTTGTCATCCTGTCATCAGAGTAGTTCAGTGTTACCATAGGGACACTACTAATCTGCGGGGTGATCAGTGATAATCGCTATGTAAACAATAGTTTTAGTTGTCATTATTGGGTTTCCTTTTCAGGAACAGCTTGCTTATGATTGTGATTGGCTACAGCTAATCACACGGTACAGGTAGCCAGGTACCATGTGATTGCTGTAGGCCAATCACAGACCACAACAGTAAGCAAGCTGTTCATTAATGGAAAGCCATTCATGACATGTTGTTTACATTGTTATCATGGGATTGCTATGAGCAATTATAGCAATTAAATGATAACCCATTACCAGTAACAGTAATTCTCTGTGTCCAGAAGGGCCGTGATGCGTGCTACTAACATGAAACAGGGCAAATCACGTATGTAGCATATTTGAGACTGTGCCGACAGCTGCTGCCCTGGTTCAGTTAATATACTGTGGCGGGGCGGCAAGTGGTTAAATTGCTTTAATATATTTTTTTTTCTTTCTTTAGAGAGTGAGTGTTTTTTTTTAATCAGACAGTATGTAGTATGGCTTGGTCCATCTATTTACCAATGTTTTCCCATAAGAGTTACACACTATTTATGTTTTTAGCCCTGATTTACAAATTTTTTTAAATGGATTCTTATGTGAAAAAATATGTGTATATTGGGTAAACATTGTGTGAATGTTGGGTGAAAACATCAATAAACAGACCTCTTATTTCTATGTGCATTTATTTGGCACTGGCAATTTATGCAGCACTTACAGTCTAAGGTCCCTATTTCACATTCATACATACACATGCTAGGGTGAATATACAGCTGCCAAATAACCTACCAGCATGACTTTGAAGTGTGGGAGGAAACTGGAGTACCTGGAGGAAACCCACACAAGCAGTGGGGGAAACATGCAAAGTTAATACAGGTAGTGTCATGGTTGGATTTTGAACCAATTAATGATACAAGGCAGACATCCTAACCACTAAGCCACTGCGCTGCCCACTCTTAGTTTCCTTTGTATTTCAATTTTTGTTTCATGTTTTTGTGTATTGATCATTCTTTGTGTACTGTTGCTTTAATTTTTTTTCCTACTTTTTCTTTGTTTGTAAAAGTTAAATAATAAGGCGAATGAAGTCCAGGATAGTAGAATAGAGCTTCCATAACCCTCAAGAGCAGATTAAAGTACTTTAAAAACAAGTGGAAACCAATATAGCTTATCCATTCCTATGAATTCTAATACATTTTTTTTTAAAAATGGCAACATTTCATAAAAATTGAGGAAATGAAAATTCTTAATTTTACAAATTCCTATAGGTCAGTCATTAAAGGTATACTGCTGCAATAACTGTAATTACTTTGACTACAGTACTTAGCAATAAATAATTCTCAGTTAAGCTAAATGCCTAATAATTAGTTACAATTAATTCTTTGAAAACTTGCCTTAGAGGAATTGGGTTGGTAACCTATACATATAATTGGAATGTCTTCTATTTTCAATATTTACATAGGCCAGTCACATTATTCTGCACTTTATATACCAGTAAAGTAAACATTATTATTCATTTTTAAACATATTGCTTTACTCTTACAGTGTATTGTACATGGTTTTGTTTCAGCCCTTGCTTTGGAATCTCTATAAATGAATCTGCCATTCAGACTAGGAAAGATACAATCCTACTGAGCCTTGATATGAACTGAAAATAAAATAACCAAGCTTGACAGATATAATAGTTTAAGTGATTTCAAATTAACAACATCCCACTGACCGCAAGTGAAGAATGGCTTCATTCTCTTGCAATGAAATATGCTCCAGGGACTCATTATACAGAGTGGAGTAGTGAAACCAGAGTAAAATAATTGATGCTGAGCAAGAAAAAATGACAGCCATTTAATGATTTAAAAACTCATCCCCGAAGATTTCACAGGAAGTTAAAATTATTTTTTGCTTTTCACTCAATATAGTCTTATGATAGAAATGGATATAACAACTGATTGTTTTTGGCAAACGTAGCATGCGTCATATTTTCAGAATAGACCTATGTCAATAAATACTAGATGGATAATACTGTGTCACTGATGGGCCAGCATTCAATGACATACGTACAACTGGAAGTATCCATATGAATATGTCCCTAGCACTATGACCTCTACTCTAATAGATGTGGGTATCAACAAACTGTATCTGTATGGATACAAATAAACAGTTCTGGCCACAATAAACGTCTGGATTGCACAGAGAGAAATAGTAGAGATCCTAAAATGTCAGTTTATTCTATTTATTGTGGTCATTGTTCGTGTGGTGGAGAATAAGGCAAAGAGAAGAGCTAACACAATTGGAGAAAGTCACAGAGGGTGTTGTAGACATCCTTTAGAATTCTGTTGGCACATAGCACCGAAAGTGTCAATGCTTGTGCCCAATTTATGTACCTGTCACAGATAGGTACATGAATTTGTCCATGTCTGCACTGGGGAAGGAGTGTACACACTGGACATTCCTTCCCCATTGCACTCTCCCCTCCTTCCCTCCCAGGCACTTGGCTAAGCAGTTTTATACTGGGGTGGGTGGAGGCTTACAGGGAACTGAGAGAATACTTCCCCATAAGGTTAACTCTACTTTTCATTGACTGCCCACCAGAGTGGGTGAATCTATAGCTGCTATTAAAGTGGAGCAACAGCCTCCCCCCAAAAAATTAAAGTCAGCAGCTACAAATACTGTAAAAGGACACTTACCTGTTCAGGGATCCAGCAATGCTCTTACCTGAACCAATTCTTCAGTCGGCTTTGGGTGCAGGTGCCAGCATCTTGAGTAAGGGAAACCGTCAATGAAGCCTTCAGGATCTACATCTAGTTTCTTACTACGCATGGGTGCACCTGTGAAGTGTTCCAGAAAGCTACAGGGGAAGGAGGGGCTTCAGAACTTGCGACTCAGATCGTTGCTGTGCATCTGACCGGAAGTGGAAGCGGGTACCTGTCAAAACCAGATACCTGCTCCCCCCAAAAAAATGCAAAATGTGGCAGTGAATGGGGCTCTTTACCATAGGATCAGCTGTGTCCAATCACAGCTGATCACATGTAAACAAATGACAGCGCTGAGGAAAGGAAAACTCATCATCAGTGCCCTGTTTATCAGTGCACCCCATCAGTGCAGCATATCAGTGCAGAATATCAGTGCAGCCCCATCAGTGCCAATCTGAGTCCATCAGTACCGCTTCTCAGTGCCCATCAGTGCCGCCTTATCAGTGGCCATCAGTGTTGCCTCATCAGAGTAGCCTATCAGTGCCCATCAGTGCGCATCAGTGAAGAAGAAAATTAATTTATGTGCAAAATTTTAGCAAAAATGAAAAAACCACAGTGGTGATTAACCACTTGGTAACCATGCTACAGCCGACGGACGGCTACAGCTCGGTTACCCAGTTCTGGGAGGGCGTCATATGATGTCCTCCCAGAACGTGACCTCATGCGCAGCCCCAGAGGCACGCATCCGGCAAGCTCCGTGACTGCTGTGTCCTACAGACACAACTGATCACGTGCTGAGGTAAAAGGCCAATCACAGCAGCCTTTTACCACATGATCAACTGTGTCCAATGATACAGCAGATCACAGAGTAAATACAGTTGCCAGTTATCGGCAGCACTTTCCTCATGCTGTCACAGTGTGAGGAAAGTACTGCCGATAACCAGCAGCTGTCACAGAGCAGATAGGCACTGATCATCAGGGCACTAATGATCAGTGCCCTGCAGTGCTTCCCAGCAGTGCCACCCACCAAAGCCCAGCAGTGCGTCCCACGAGTGCCCAGCAGTGCGTCCCATCAGTGCCCAGCAGTGCGTAGCATCAGTGCCCAGCAGCACCACCCATCAGTGCCCAGCAGTGCCACCCATTAGTGCTGCCCATCCTTGTGCCCATCAGTGCTGTCCATCAGTTAGTGCTGTCAGTCAGTGTCACCCACCAAAACTGAACTGCAAATTCAAGATGAAGCCAAACCAGTTGTAACGGAACCGGAACCCAGACCGCACTGAGTTTTTCCGTTATACCACAGCTTCCCCTGTCCGAACACCATCCACAGACCACAGCCTTGAAATCCCTCAGGTAATAGACAGCACCCAGCTCTTCTTAAACAGGAAGCCAACTCTTTTTATTTTAACACAAAACACAGGATATATACAGAGGGCGGGGAAACCAACCAAGAACAGGCAATACATCATCACCCCTCCCCATCCCACCAAGACACAGAACAATGGGATGAAACACATGGCAAAGGACATTGACCAACCCCTACACCAATACACAAACAGTACATCCCATAATAGTTGGCTGGACAGGAAGACACAGCACAATGGGGGGTAGCACATGGCAAACAGACAATGGACAGCCATGTGGCTGAGAACAAAGGAACACACATTATACACAAGACTCAGACATTCACATACACACCCCTGTACCCCTTAAACAGGCATAGGGTGGGTTAAACATAATGATTTGGGGAGATGATACAGAGGTCCCCCCCACCCCCAAAAGTCACTTCCGTCACACCAGTGTTTTATAAAGAGGTAGAATTATTGATTTATCTCATTAATGTATGCACTTTTTAACGTATGAAAGTATTTTGCTAGCTTTGTTATCTGTGGCTTGGCATTGCATACTATTGCTAAGTCTGTGATCTACAAGCCACCACCCCGCAGATCCTTTTTTATTATCTTCCTGTAATGATGCTTCTTCCTGTACCAAAGTTATTTCCATTCATAATTTGGTATCCTTATGAAAAACTAAAATTGAGCTCTTAATTCCAACATTTATATCAGGTGTCTACAAAATTTCTAAACAAAAGGACAGTTTATTGTCATTCAAACTTTATTGGGGCCGGACTGTGGCCAGCGGGAGTGGAACTTTTCCTGGCATCAGTGGGAGAAAACATTGCCACATTTGATATTAGAGGAAGGAACAGTGTCTTATCATTGGGAAGAAGAGTGCCCCATTACTGCTGTTAATTTGAGAAATGGTGCCCCATTGTTGGTGTCAGTTGGTAGAACAGTGTCTTGTATCATTGGGAGGAACAGTGTCCCAAGGGCCGGATAAAGGCAAGCAAAGGGCCACGTCCGACCCTAGGGCCACAGTTTGAAGACCACTGATTTATATCATGAATAAACAAATTTAACAGCCTTGACCCAAAAACAGAACCCCGGAGCACACCACTCACAGCACCAGACTATTCAGAGAATGAGTAATTTATCACTACCCCTGGACCCGTTCATTAACCATTACCTGTTTGTTTACATACAATTTCATCAACTCCAACAGATGTTATTTTATAGATTATTTGGTTTTGAGGTACAGTATCAAATACTTTAACAAAATCAAAATAAGCTACATACACTGAACTTCCACCATCCAATTTCTCAATAACTTTGTCATAGAAAGAGAATAGGTTGGTCTGACAAGAACAGTCTTTTTTAAATCCATGCTGGTTGTCATTGATGATACCTTTATCACAGACAGATTTCTGTATAGAGTCATTTACAATTTTATTTAATACTGTACATAGTATTGATCTTAGGCTGACTGGTTTGTAGGTTCCTGGTATACATCTTTGCCCTTTTGTTTAAAATTGTACCATATTTGCTCAGTTGGTACCAATCCAGTCAGGAAAGTGTCTTGGAAAATTAGAAATAGCAGCTTGGCTAGGCTGCCTAAGGATTGGAGATCACATTAAGTTCAGATTAAGTTTCTCTATTATTTTGTACCTGGCTTCCTGTCAATCACAAAGATACATTTGATGAAACATCATTAATATTACTGTTACAGCTACTAAACCTGTCTTTTTTATCTGTAAAAACTAAAGAGAGAAATTATTTATGTCTTTATTGTGTAGGTTAAGTCATGATTCTGACTTCTGATTTTGAATCACCAGAAGTTGCAGGAGTTGTGGGATCTTGCAGATACAGATACTACAATCACTTACAAACCCTTTACTACACTCAGCCAATCCCCATTCAACTAATTATTTGACTTTGGAAAATAATTAATTGTACCTTTTAGGTGTGTCATATAATACTGTCCATAGATAGATTGAAATTCAGCAGGGACCAGTTGAATTTTGTTTCATTTGTTCCTGTTGAGAGCAATCAATCTAAGAACCAATTCTGAGCTCTCAAACAGCTTGTTGGAAAATGTTTGCTTCGAACAGTAATGCACCCAATCGGCTGCAATGCTGATTGGTGTATTCTGATGGCATAGTACAGTGGGGAAGATTCCCTCCTTAGTCAGCTGGCTTTTAAAAAATAAAAAAGATCTATTCATGTCCAGCTTAATACACTTAGTTATTTTGTGTTATTTTTGTTTTTCAATGTACAGTGCTCAGCATAAATGAGTACACCACAACAGATTTCAGAATAAACATTTTCTATGGGACACTATACTACAAAATACTCCCAAAAATGTGGGCCATTGATTGCAAACAAGGTTTGTTAATTTGCACACACAAAAAAGTATTTTTCCTAACAAATTCATTCAAGACCATGTTGCAAAAATGAATACACCCTAATGAAAGTCTTAGGAGAAAAGCTAGATTTTAGACAAAATCCTAATTAACAAGAATTCAACTATAGCTGAGTCTAATTATTCATTAAACAGGTGTCCAGCAGACAGTTGATTATAAAAGGGCATTACTTAACAAAGAAAAACCCCTTCCCATTTCATGCTGTCAGCAATGGCACCACGTGGAAAAGAAATGTCACAATACCTGAGAAAGAAAATAATTTCTTTACACATGAAAGGTGAAGGCTACAAGAAGATCAGCAAAGCTTTACTTATCAGTCAGAATACTGTAGCAAAAGTGATACAAAAAGATGGAACTGCAACCATCTCACAGAGACATCCAGGCCATCCATGGAAGTTAACACCTCGACAGGAGCATCTTCTGATGATAAGGGTTGAATAAAATCCCATGCAAGTTCACTGCAGTTAGCTAAAGAAGTGGAGCGCCAAACTGGGGTGATTGTTTCCCATGACACAACAGAGCATACACTGCAGAGGAATGGCATGCATGGGTGTCCTCCACAAAGGAAGCCTCATCTAAAGCCCATCCACAAAACAGCCCACCTAGAATTTGCCAGGACCTATGCTGAAAAAGAAGAAGACTACTTGGAATCTGTACTCTGGAGTGACGAGACCAAGATAAATGTTTTTGGAAGTGATAGATTCAGAACTGTATGGCGTCACAAAGGTGAGAAGTACAAAGAAAAATACATGGTGCCTACAATGAAACATGGTGGTAGCAGTGTCCTGCTGTGGGACTGCACGAGTGCTGCTGGTGTTGAGAAACTACAATTCATTGATGGTAATTGATGGATTGATCTAAACAAATGTTCTGAAAAACTCAGTTTTGTCAAAATTTTGGAAATTGTTCTTGAGTTCATTAATATATTGATTAAAATCTTACTTTTCACAAGGGGTGTACTCATTTATGCTGAGCACCGTAATTTATTTAAATCACTTTGCAAATACCTGTTTCCACTTTGACATAATAAAGGTCTATTTCTGTTATCAATGTAAAAATCAATCAATCAATCAATCAATCAATCAATCCAATGTATTTATTGTTCTATGACAATAAATCCTAAAATTTTTTTAAAGTAATACATACTTGTTGCACTGTGTACATGTGTGTGTACATGTACTTATTTTCAATGTACATATATAATATAACATATTTTCTATAATTTGTCCTACACATGCACAATGAATAAGCACTTAAATACTGAGAGTAAATACTTGGGAAAAAAACAGTTTAAATTCAATGCCAAAAAATAAAAAACAGCTGGTACATGGAAAATAACATACTATGATCAGGTCAGATTTTGAAATATCTCCTACCTATCTTTAGAGTCATTAAGCTAGACTCTAGCTATGAAAGTTGAAAGTGGAACTACTTGGAGTTTTTACATGAGGACATGAAGGTATTTCACAATGTCCTGATTTTTTTGCTGCGGATAATATTCTAGGATCCATACATGAGAACAGATCTGAACAAATTATGGTCCATATTGGAGTCACAGCACAGCAGTGGCACAGTACAGTAACCACTCTCCTTCTTAAGTGGTGATAGTATTTATCTGCTTCTTAAGTGGGAATAGCATTTATTATAAAATCATTGATTTTCAGAACACACAATAGCCTTATCACGCCTACAGTACACAAATAGCAAAACATGCTGTTAGTTGTTAGAAATTTCATTATATCAGAAAAAACAAT